CTAGAAAATGTCATTTTTTGGTGTTGCAATTAAGGGTTTTTTGTACTGAGTTTGGGCATTAAAACTATCAAAATACTTTTAATAAGTAAATATGCAAGAAAAGTTTTATTAAGAATATTTTAATAAATTTATGATCCAAATTGTATTATTTTTATTATGTAATCTAAACTAAAAAACACATTTTTGTTGATTTGTTATCATTCAAATTTAAAAAGTTTGTTAATGACTTAAATATCTTAGTAATAATTTTTTTTAGTAAAAATAAGATATTTGAGTTTAAATAATATGATATATGAATGAAATAAATTAAAAAACAAAAAAAAATTATATTATACCGTACAACTTAAGATCACAAGAAAGAAATTAAAAAGTTTACTGCATTTTCTTCTGAAGTAGCTATATTCCCGGCATTCTCTGTAAGTAAGCTGGATGGTGCAGCTAGTATGATCCATTGGACAAGTCCCGTACAATCATGAGCTAAGTTGTCAAGTAAGTGGATGCTTATAAGTTGCTGATTGTTGAGCAATTGAATTGTCACAACAAAAGAATCCATTTCAACGATAACATTATGAAAGTCCTCATTAACCACCAAGGAATTATAAAGGCCACCTCCGGGTCCGCCTAGGCCAAGTGATGTCTACTCAATACAACGTTGACCCTAAACTGAAATTTTGTTGGCAAAATCTTCAAATTCACTTTAAAAAATATCGATAAAAACATATTTATTTCTCAAAAAAAAAAATTAAATTGTTCTTTTAAATTATAAATTAATACAAATCATTTATTTTTTAACGTTTTTTGTTAAAAAATGAGTAATTTGTATTGATTTATGATTTTAAAGGACAATTTTCTTTTTTTTTTTTAGGAGTGGATGTGTTTTTATCGATATTTATTTTTTTAAGGATAAATTTGAAGGTTTTGCCAATTTTGTTAGGAAAACTAGTGGAATCTTGACAAATAAATTTTTAGGTATAATTTTTTACACCATTCAACTTAAAATAACTATCTATTTTAAATT